CATGCGATAGCTACGAACGTTGACATTGCTCCAGAATTGGTTGAACGACTACATCCGACTACCAGTGTGCTTATGACTGTTTCAATCGCTGCAGTATAAAAATACTGTCTGAGAGGACCTGGATCAACCAACGGTGCACTGATTTCATTAAAGTTTTCATCCCAACAATCAGTACGTTTGCTGAAGGGTTGTTGCCATATGGTCCGAGCAATGATCAGCTGAACTTTTTTCATTGATCGTAGCGATCATTTGCCTGATATGGAAACCAACTATTAAGCATCAGTTGTACTAATAGTTAAATATCATTTTTTTTTTTTTTTTCGTTTTCAGCTATGACGTCATGCAAAGAACTGTACAACGCATACAAGTAAGTCAATAATTATAAATGTTAGATATGTTAAAAAAAGTTCTCATGATTACCATTGGTCAAGAGTCCTTATTTTAGTTCTTATTTTCCTTATTCCCATTCTAGGTAATCATATGAATGCGTGTTCAGTTAAGCATTTACACTACGAGTGATATTCGAAAATTCTCCCAAAATTGTGCGAGCCTTTAGGCGAACGCAATTTGTAAGAATTTTGAAATATATCACGAGTAGCTAGAGTAAATCCTTCTGATTACTCAAGGTTTCGTGCGATTACTTATTAATTATCTGACTAAGAAAATTTCTAACTCGCGCGCGTTTATTTGCACTGCGGAGCAAATTAAAAGTTTACGATCGATTGGCCTGTTCCCAGCCAATCACGATTAAGTAATTTTCTAGTCAAGTACCAACGGTCGAATTTGAAGGTGGTTGTTAAGCACTACGTTTTAAATCTAACCTTTAACTGTTCCTAATTAGAGCGTTGAGGTAAACTTTGAAAACAGCCCTAAAAACAGACCAACTTTCACAAAACGTGGCCACCTGTTAAGCAAATGATTCGTATTTATTGTTTGTAGCTTTCTCACGACGAAAGCAAAAGGTAGAATGATCTAGATACCGGTCTAGAAGGGAAAATCTGGACTGTGATCACTATCGATTTGAGCCAATCATATTCGCACCGCGTGAATTTGGTAGTTTCCAGTCCTTGCGAGACACAGCCATATGATAATAAAGCGTTTTTTTAAGACGAAGGATCATAGTTAAAAGAGAGGATTGGTTATGAAGCCCGACAAACATCAAAGGAGCAAACAGAGATGCCAAGATTTATGTTGGAAGGTCCTCGACTGTGCACAATCTTTTGTTTTGCGCTCATAAACTATGCATCAATTACGTAACGTTTCTATTGGTTAGTTCCTCAGTACGGAGTAAACAACTATTGTGTTTTGTGCATGGTTAAGGCCAAAAAAGTGAACAAAGAACTTTGTCGGGTTTCATAACCATTCCCCCCTATTAACTATGGAAGGACTAACGATTTAAACATCAGCGTTAACTCGCTCCCTTTATCAACTTCAAGTTCAGATGAATGAACATAGAATTTGTATTGCCGCCGTCATATTTAGAAGAGTTCTCAGACAAAACAAGCAAATTATCTATTTAAGCTTTAACTATTATATTAACAAGTAAGCAGTGTTGAAACCAGTAAACATTTATTTCAACTCAATCTCAAGTTCTTTCAACTCAATAGCTTTCGTTATTATTCACATCCAACAGGTCCAGCGTGAGTCAGCTGGTTACGCTCCTCATTGACTCAAAACCAATTCCTGTTCTCTGTCACATGGGAGATTTTGGATGTGGAGATGAAGGATGGACGCCGGTCATGAAGATTGACGGCAACAAGGTGTTACATTAAATCACCTCTCTACTCGTACAGGCCATGGCCAAGAATCATTATCTGTAAAACTAAAATGGCTACTAATAGGTGGAATGAAATGAACTCGCTATTCTTGATGGGATTTAGCAGGAGTAACTCAGCTCAGTTAGTCGAGA